TTTTTTTTTTAATATATATATATGCTAAATAATTGTTTAGCCACTTTATCACTATGCTTATATATTTAACGATATTTCTTTCGTGCTTTATAAATGTGCCTGATCTTTGAGCTTCTACTGGGAAGAGAAAGGCTGAGGGAACATGGTACTCTAGTCGGGGCAGACCTAATGGGAGTGTATTCTATATAGATATATATATATATGCATATCGATCTAAAAACCAACTGCAGTTAATAGGGAGACGCGTTTGAACTAAGCTAAGTTTAATTCCTGCTCAGTAGCCTTGCCTAAGTGCGTGAGCTCTCTATAAGATTGGCATCCTTAAATGTGCTTAGATACAATTTCTATAGGTATATATAATATATGACACTCAGATTCCAATTTGCAATCGAATAAACAATTAACACACACACTATATGACCCATGCTTGGGAATGCTAATATATATACTCATATGTCTGTACTTATTGCATATCGAATATCGAATATCGTATATATAGATATACACCTCAACCTATCACTACATATTGTTCCAAATATGCTTAAGAGAAATGAACAAGATTTAATTAAATATAAAATCTACGTTAATTGCATTTGAAGTAATTCGGCAAGGCCGCAATTCACAATACCCTTCGCATTGTTTCATAGAGCTTTAAAACCCTAAATATATTGCACATTAAACATTTTTTGTTTTGTAAATTTGTCATTAATCACTCAAGATAAATTTTAGTTAAAAATTAAGATTTGCATGTTTGCAGACGAAACATAAATTTCGATTCTAAAATATTTCTCTATTGGAAGAATAAACAGCTAAATGTAAATTTAAACATAAAAATCACAGCAAATTAATCATGTATATAGAAAATAATTAAATGTTAGAGCTTAGATTCTTCTATGTTCCATAAAAAGGGAATTGCACATAATGTCTTAAAGGGAATATTGCAATACAGAAACCGCTTTTAACTTAAGAGGTTTAAATAATTTTCGGCAAGATGATATATTAATGTGTCTTTTAAAACACTTGACATCAAGGTAGAATTTGTTTATGCTAATTTTTAGTGTACAATATGCGATATATAGTATATATATCCAATGCGAAGGGCATAGGCTTAGTTTTCTTATTTTGCTTGCTCTATCTGCTGCTGTTTAGAAACATAATTCTTTGGTTTTCTTCTATTTTGAAACTGTCTATTGCTACATCTTTGAATGGCTCCGATGGTCTAGTTTAAGGTGTTTCTCTGGCGGGTTTAGGTGAGGATGTTCCTTGTGTGCTGGCAATAAATACAGTCCCTAGCGTAAATCAGAGCATGCCCCAAACATAATTACAATTACAGAACAGGCAGAGACTTAATAGCTAAACACGAGTCAAAACAAGGAGAGTGTGGGTGTTTGTGTGTGTGTGTGTGTGTGAGAGAGAGGTGCCCATAGCCCATGCTGCAGGATATCTATATAGATCCGCTTAAGATTCAGCCAGTAAATGTACACAATTGCCGTTGGCGTCGCCTCTGCTATCTGCTGGTCGGCCCTCAGTCACGCCAGCTGTTGGTTAAGGAGAGCCGGCGACGCTCCACCAACTTGATGTCCTTGACACAAAGATCATGCTTGGAATTGCTGGCGAAGCGTATTACGGACTGGGTGCTCACCTGCGGCACATGCCGCAAGTCCAGCCAGATAAGACTTTCGCACTTGGACAGATGCTCCAGCGAGTTCTCGGATACCAGGCGACAGGCGCTCAAATTAAGCTCCGACAGCCGTTCAATGGCCGTGGGCGAGGTGCCAATCTGTGCCACGCCTGCGTCGGTGATGCGCTGGCACGAGGAGAGATCTAAGTGTTTGAGATGTGGCAACGACTGCATTATATAACGCACAGCCACGTCCGAGATGTCAGTGCCGGCTAGCTTCAGCGTTTTGAGATCACGCAGCCGTGTCTTTGAATCACTCAGACCCGGACGCGAATCCTTCGGCGGCGACAGTATGTCCCGGATGGCCGCGTCATTCAAGCCTCGCACAAAACTCAAGTCGAGTATTTGCAAAGGAGGGCAGAGGCAGGTGTGCAGCGCCAGCACCGCCTGGATGGGGCAATTCTGCAAGGAGAGATTCTTGAGGGCGGGCAGGCGAGCCACCAACCAGGCCAGTTGCCGCTTGGCCAGCTGCGTCCAGTCCAATATCAAATGCTCCGGCTGCCGCCGCACAATGGCCGTCAATAGAGAAGCGGATATTTTAAGCTCAGCACAGTTCATGCGCTTCCAGAGATCGGGATCGACAGCGGCATTTGACCATGCCTTGCACACCAAACAGCACGTGACGAGCGTCTCGGGCGGCAGATAACGGAATATGATCTTCAGCACAGTTGGATCCAGTGCCAAATTGTGGGCGCTGCTATTACTATGACTGTGACCGTGACTGTGACTGTTGCCACTGCCATGGTGCGCATGGTGATGGCTGTGCCCGTTGGCGCCATTGCTGTGCTGTGCTCCACCAGTAACACTGCTGACAGCACCAGCTAAGCCTGCTGCAGCACTTGTGCCGGCTCCATTGTTGAGCCCATTTATGGCGCCGTTACTCAAACCAGATCCGATTAGACTGGAGCTGACCGCGCACGCTGGACGCACCACATACTGTGGCTTCTTCAGCACACGCGTCGACGAGTTAAGCATCTGTTGCGCCAGCTGTGAGCGTATGGAGTTCTTTTTGCGTGAGCCACCGCCCCCTCCGCCATGTCCTGTGGATGCCGCACCAGTGCCCGCTCCACTTGTAGCCTCCATGGAACTGGAGCAGGGCGCATCGTTGCTCTCATGCATGCTGCTGCTGACGCTAGTGCCGTCGTCGCTCTTGCGCCGTTTCACCTTCTCGCCCAGCAGATGCGACGCATTGGGTGATATGCCCGGCGAGGGCGTGTCACAGCTGTTGTTGCGCTCCGTCTTCACTTCCAGCTGATGATGACGCTTGAGACCGTGTTTCCAGTGCGTCGTATGCATGCTGCCCGACTCCATTTCCGATTCGCTCGTAAACACAAAATCATTGTATTGTCCAACAGGCGGTGGCAAAATGCTACCTACTCCAGCTGCACCTCCAGCTCCCTCCTGACCATCGCTGGTGTTGTTGCCATGCGAAACAGAAACGCGTCGTACCTCCGATGATTTTTGGCGAGCGCGAAAATGTCGCGGCTGCAATCGGAACGTGGAAAACAATTACAATAAATACGCACGTCTGTTCGGCAGTTGAGTGATGTAAAGGTTCTGTTATTTACAGATTTCATGTTTGTATTTGGTGTTAACAGTTAAAGAGAGGCGGCTTGCAGGTTGCACATTTGAGTGCTGTTAAAGTGCTGCCTAACATATGCATGTTATGTTAAGCAAATGGAATAGTATAAGTAGCAAAGTCACACGGACGTTACCCAACAATATGTGAAATGTTAATCGAGAGTGATGTTATTAAAAGAATTATGTTATTTCACAATACTCACTTTGTAATCGTAATTCTTGCCAGAGCGACAGCAACTGGGGCACTCCCAGCTATTGGGCAGATCCTCGTTGACAATGCCCTTGGCATCGGCAGCATCGTCGGTGCCATCCAGCTGGGATAACGCACAGTCCGGATGAGCGATTTCGTAGCAAACGGAACACTCCATCAGCGCAGAGGGACCCTCCAGGGAGGCCAGCTGCTTGGTTTGGGGCGACACGGGCATCTGCCGCCAGCCGTCCAGATGACAGTAGACGCACTGCGCCGTCACTGGCAGCATGGGCGACAGGCACTGTCGCATCATACACGTCTGCTTGGCCCGTCCCGGCCCACCGAACTTCACCATGTCCATGCAAAAGGGGCACGTGCCGCAATCGGAGCGCTGACAGGCGGCACAGTTCTTGCAGCGCGTGCGCCGTCGCCTCGGCTGTCCGGTGCCCGTCAAGTGTGGCGACAGCTTGGCACTCGCCTCACCCGGAGACAAGCAATTGTCCAACGACGTGCTCATGCTGCCATCCGCATAGTTGGAGCTGGTGGCAATCACACTAACGGCATTACTGTTGTTCCCCACATTAGTGGGACTACTGCTATGAGCTTGGCTGCTGCTGTTGTTGTTGTTGGTGTTGTTACCGTTGCTGCTGGTGCTGCTGCCGGCAGCAGCTGCCACAGCATTTGCCAAATGCATCTTCTTGGGTGGTCGATACTTCAGCGTGTCCGTGGGCAGCACAAAGGTGGCTTCTACGAATGGAGTTGGAACAGTGTTAAGATAATAGCAATAAATAATTTGGGTTCAACTTTCAATCTGAGATTAGATGAGATAT